AATGAGTATCATGTCCACCTTCAGACTTCTGAGCCAGTTCATTTTCCAGATCCATTACTTGTGTGTTTAGTTGATTTTCCTAGTTTGCTTATCCTTCTCCAGCCTGTCCAACACCTTCAAGGCCAGGTTTACCTTTTGTATTGCCACCCTTATTAGCGACTGAGTAATTCTGAATAGATGTATCATGGTTTCTTCATCTTCATCTTTTAGTTCATTTACCTTCATCTTTGCTCAGGTAATTGATAAATTATCTGCCAATTCTTCTTAAAGTAGCAGGTCATCTCAATCATCTTTGACCAGTCTTTTCATTTATATTAGGAGTTGTCTTGAATTCTTTCACTGTCTTTTTCTCCTAAATCATGTCTTGCAACCAGCCACAGTCAATCACCTACAGCAGCCACCACCAATCCTGGTTCATACATGGCCAAACCACATCCTCGTACTCATGCTCCCAACAACTCTTCCTGAATAAACCATAGCACAGTGGCTACTAGATGATACCATGCTCTGTTGTGGTACTTTAATATAAGTTATATTACTCACTTTTCAATTTGAAAGTTAATTTTGCCTCAGTACAAACTCTGTTATATTTTATAGTAATATAGGCCAAATTTCTTTATCTAGAGAGAGAAATCAATTTTCTATGTTACATCAGGTCCCACAAACTTTACTGGTACCTCTGTTAAGAATTTAAGTCTTCCAGTTATCCCTGGAGAAAGGGTACTTAACTCCAGTAAGCCATCAAGAAAGCTGTCAATATGCCTTTTGTTTCATTTATTAATAAACTGTCATTTTCTGGTTCTCCAAGTTGCAGGATATATGTGTTTTTAACAAGAAGAGTGGGTTAGGTTTAATCATAAAACAGAACCTCCTAAAAGAACATCCTGCTTATCTCTGCCTTGGCTATCCAGTCTACCACCTTACCACACCACATATGATCACTGTAAACAAAGTTTAATTTTGTTTTATTTCATTTGACTATAAATTTAATTTCCCCATTATCAACTATCAATCTATTTATATATGGGAGTTTCTAAACCCAGTTAGGACCTTATTTAATTTTTCAGGGACCTGTCAGGGAAATGACAGGCATGTTAGATGCCTGAGAATGTGGAAGGTGTCACGTTTTCATACAATGAGATAATTTCTGTCCAGTCCCCTATCACTCTAAGCCTGACAATGCTCTCTACAGGTATTTTCTGTGTTCAGTAGCATAAAATAATTTTTAAACCAGAAGAATTCATGTAAGTCCTTTATCCAATTTCATTACAAGGCAGAAACTATGTGCAAAATGCCATTATAAAATGATCAGATTGTAAGTGAACATGAACAAGAGGAAACCCTGTTTCCACATTTCTCCCTTAGCATTGTGCCTCCATCTTACTCCTGCAGGAACAGTCACCTCATGGAATAATCAACCATTTTCAACTCTGCATGTCGGATCTTGAAAGGACATGGTTCAATCTGTCTACAATAAAAAACAAAAGCTCCAAACATGGGCCGCTTTGAGCAAGAAAGACTCAGTCTGTTCCATTGCCATTCTTTTGTACTGTTGTTGTTTATTGTTTAGTTAAAAATAGATTCATGTCACATAATAAATTCTAATAATTATTTCCTGCCCTACATCTTCAGATTCTCTCTACCTCCCCAGCCATATAGCTACACACCTTTCTCTTTATTTTTAGAAGACAAACAAGTTAATAAGAAAACAAACCAGAATAGAACAAACAAACAAAAAAAACAAACAAAAAGCATGAGAAGCACATATACATACATGCAAAAATACATGCACACACAAAAATCCATAAAAGCACAAGCCATAATGTATAAGCAAGCAATGGATATGTTAAATAATGCCCAGATAAAACATTGTGAAAAAATCTCCAAATCCACAATTGAGTTCATTCAAGTTGGCCATCTACAGCTGATCATGAGGCCTGCCAATAAGTGTGGTTGTATATCCAGGGAAATGTTGGCAAAAACTCAATTTTCCCTTGTGGGCAGTTTTATTGGAGATAGCTTCTTGGTTAGGTGACATGATGTCCACTTCCCCCTCTCAGCACTGGTACCCCATCTGCACAAGACTGTGCAGCCCTGTGCATGTCATTTCTATGAGTTCACATGTGATATTGTGTCTAGAGGGCATCATTTCCTTAGGGCCTTCCACCCCCTGACACTTACAATCTTTCTGCTTTCTCTTCAACAAAATTCCCTGAGCCCTGTGAAGTGAGTGTTTGGAGTGTCCATGACCTTGGTCTTCTCAACAGCAAATGTGATCTCTTAAAAGAAAGGTCGAGGTCATTCTACTTTGGTGATATCACTGTATCACTGGCAAGAAGCAGTGTGTAATCAGTCCCTAGCTTTCCAAAAATTCTGCAACTGGATTTACCATATCCTGTATTTGTGAGTGTATTTTCCACTTTTTCATATCTTAATAAATCCTTGTTACCTCTGAACAGACTCACATGAGTTTCTCACTACAAGTAGTGCTCACATGGTCAGAACCCAACCTGCATGGCCTCCCAGCCTCTGCAACTGCTGGTGTGCTTCCAAGCCTCACATTTGCATCCCCAAGAGACAGGATACCTTGTGCACCCACAAGTATCTTGATCCCAGAGGCCAGAAGTAAGTTGTGCTTATGAACACCTTTCCTAAATTGAAATGTTGCCTACAGAGCAACCATTGAGCCTGAGAAATTCCAAATTTGTTTGATGTATGATATCATTGGTGTATGTAATCTACTGTGGTTCCTGTATTTCTCTGCCTGATTCTCACGGATTCCAGAAGGGAATCTGCCTAGGTGAGTTTTTAAACCATAGGAACCCACTATGAGAACCTGAATCATGTCAGCCTGAATCAACCTGCTCTAGCGGTACACTTGCAATATGCAGGATATGCACACTGCCAAAAGGAACCAATACATATGAAAGATTTAGACAATATTAAGGAAACAATAGGTTCTTATGGTATGCATTCAGCATATGGAAGAATATTATAAGCCAAAATAAAAAACAATCACTGACCATTCCAGCTGTACAAAAACAGGGCACAACAGCTGTCAAACTCTCGGTGGTACCGATGGTCCTACCCTTAAAATGGTTAAATGACAAACCTACCTGGGTTGGGCATTGGCCTTTGACATTAGAGAAGCTATAGACTTTAGAACAGCTGGTTCAGGCGCAGCTAGTTGCTGGACATATTGAAGAATCTACCGTCCCTTAGAATTATCTTGTATTTATTATATTAAAAAGAAGTCTGCCAGGTGGTGGTGGCGCACGTCTTTAATCCCAGCACTCAGGAGGCAGAGGCAGCTTTACTTCTCCATGCTCAATGTGATATGTAGGTGTTGTCTTCAACAATAGTGCCTTACCATCAGTTTGTGAGGATCAACAAACAACATTGGCAAAAGCCTGATTGTTTGAATGTGTGTGTGTGTGTGTGTGTGTGTGTGTGTGTGTGCCCCCTACAGGGAGTTGAGTGTGCTGGGAAAACTGGATCCTGAAGTAGGTTATAGTAAGGCAAAGAATTATGTGAAGATATGGGTATGGAAGGGCTAAAGACCCTTGGTTTGAACCAAGAGTTGCAGCCTTCAGTGACTGAAGTTGAGGAAGGGACCTGAAGCAGGTTGTTACCAGGCGGCACATGAGAACAGAGAGATTGTAATGGAGGACAGGAAGGATAGTTTGAATAACCTACTTGAGTCCCTGCCAGTGTGGTCACTGGGGTAGAACGTGTTTTTATATATGGCATGGTAATACTAAGGAAAGGGGATGGACTAGAGTGGATGCTGAGATGGTGTACAGGCATGGGGGAAACTGAGTCCTCTGCAAGATTTAATGGAGTCCCTAGGGTGGAGGCAGAGAGGAAGGACAGCAATCTGTTAGTGGTCTGCTACAGGTCTAAGGATGGTACCATGGGAACTGAAATGAGGAGATGAAGGACAGTAATATTGACCTACTTGCTTCCCAAGTCTGTGTATTCACTGCATTCCCAGACAGTGTTTGTAGCTGTTCACAGTTGAGACAAAGGAAATGAAATGTGCTAGAATCAGGGGTGCTGGGAGGGTCCACAAGAAGGAGGACAGATGGGTTTGTTGCAAGGTTTAGAAGATTCTCCATGGAATCACCACTGTTCTTCTGTTCTTCTGTCAGTAATTCAGTCTAGATGCTAGGGAGTCAGCAAAGTAATGGTGCCATCCTCAAGATCAAATGACTTCTGAGAACTTTCCTAGTTTTGTGTACTTTTGATTCCAGACTAACTTCTCTGGAAATTAAGATACTTGCATGAAATCATCATATCTGTATTTTCAAAAAGAACCCACTCTAATAGGAAAAAAAAAGGTTTTTTTCTTGCAACGCAAAGCCCATGAGAGACCTGATAAAGCCTTTTCCCCAAGTGCCATAAGTTCAAGGATAAATGCTGACTTTGTATCTGAGAAAAGGGAGAGCTGTTTGGTGAGTGATCCAAGCTTTCTGAGATACGGCAGTGGGTTAGGAAACAGTTCCAGACAGAAAAAAATGTTATACACAACACATATGAACACATCATATATATATTTACATATAAAACATAATATATATATTTATATATAAAGCATGATATGATATATACTGTGTTAGATTAAAATAAAGAAGTAGACTCACTAGTGTGTACAAATACTATTCTTATTCTCTCAGCACTAGATCCACTTGTTATGACATATTGCTGTCTTATATGTTTGAGTCCCTCATAGGCCAGAGAACACATAAGGAGCAGCCTCTCTGGTTAAGGGTGTAACCACAAGGTGGTAGTAGACATCAGCTGCTGGGGTAGGCAGAGGACTCACTTCCTTGTATATGGATTGTGCAGGTTTAAGGCAGAAGCACAGCCTTTTTCTCTGTGCCTCAGTGGATGGTTCAAGAGGTAGAATTGTTCCTGAGAAAGAGCAATACCCCAACATTTGTAGTTGACCTACTAGTCATCATAATTATACATTGAACCTTAATTTAATTGGAAGAACAATGAAGACGTATGTTCCTACTTTACTCATGCTTTCGTGGTTGCAGCTGGATGGTGAGTTAAGATTTTAGGACCAAAGAATACTGAGTGGGCATTTTTTTTTTACTAATGGTTCTTCTTTTTATCAATTACTTTTTATTGTTTTTACTGTGCTATACATTTTTCTGTGTTCCCATTCCTTCCCCCCTCTCTCCATCTACCCTCTCCTGTGACTACTACACTCTCAGTTTACTCAGGTGATCTTGTCCTTTTCTCCTTCCTGTTTATATCCACGTATTTTTTTTTTTTTAGGATCCTCTTTGTTGTCCATGTTTTCTGGGGCTATGGATTGTAAGCTGGTTTATCAGTGGGCATTTCTGAAGCATTCAGGAGAAACTATCTTATTCAATTTTTCTTTACTGACTGTAGAAAAAATAATTCTGAAAAGTGATGACCTGGCAACCGTTCTCCTTTCTCTCCATTTTTCTGAATAGGGGTGAGCCAAGGTGAGCAGGTGCAACAGCGTCCTTCCACCCTGAGAGTCCAGGAGGGAGCAAGAGCTGTCATTAACTGCACATATGAAGACAGCATGTCATCCTACTTCCCTTGGTATAATCAAGAACCTGGAAAGCATCCTAAGCTCATTATTGACATTCGATCAAATATGGAAAGAAAGGAGGACCAAAGACTGATCATTTCACATGATAAGAAAGCCAAACACGTTTCCCTGCACATCACAGACACCCAGTTTGGAGACTCTGCCATGTACTTCTGTGCTGCAAGTGCACACTGCTCCCGAGACACCTGCAGCCTGTCCTAAAACCCACCACAGGGCCTGGAGCCCCATCCACATCCTGTGTCATATTTATACAGCACTTGCCAGTTGTTAGTTTGCAAGTGACAACTATAGTACAGACATTAAAAACACAAAATAAGAAAATTAGCTTCAAGTCACTCAAAACAATTTAGAATGGTTTTCTCCTTTTTAAAAAAATTATTTAAAAATTAAAATAAAATTCTATTATTTTCCTTTCTTCCCTCCAGCCCCTTTAAAATCCCTTTCCTTATTTCCTCTCAAATTCAGTGTTTTTTTAAAAAAATATTATTAACTTTTATTATTAAGTTATTTTAAAATTAACTTATCTTATTAACTATTATTACATACATTCATAAATGTAATCAGCTCTGTATGATTACTATTGTTTGTATGTATATAATTTTAGGGCTGATCACTTGATATTGGATATCCAATACTTTTTTTTTTTTTGGTTTTTTCGAGACAGGGTTTCTCTGTGGTTTTGGAGCCTGTCCTGGAACTAGCTCTTGTAGACCAGGCTGGTCTCAAACTCACAGAGATCTGCCTCTGCCTCCAGAGTGCTGGGATTAAAGGCATGCGCCACCACTGCCCAGCTGGATATCCAATATTATCCTCAGGGATGAATAATTCTTCCTCTATCCTTTAATTGTTTGAAATTCTTTTTCTAGACAGTGGGTTATCATGAGATTTGAACAACAAGATAAGAGATGGATATCAAAGAGATATAAACAGGAAAAAATAAATCAAATTATTATCAGGTGATGTGAGATTTAATGTAACAGATCCCAAAACCTGTACCTGAAATTTCCTAAAATTATCAATGATTTCAGCTACATATTAGAATACCAAAGACACTTACAAACATCAAGAGTCTTTCTATACATTACCAACAAACATGATGAGAAAGATCATAGACACACATCCATTCAGTACAGCTTCAAATACTAAAATACCTAGAAATAAACCTAACCAAGGAAATTAAATACTTTTTTAAGAAAAAATTTAAATTTCTGAAGAAACAGGCTGAGGAAGACATTAGAAAATGGAAAGTCCTCTCATGTTCATGAATTTGTAGAATTAATGTTGTGGAAATGACCACTCTACTAAAAGTGATTTAAAAATTCAGTAATCCAGAATCAAAACCCCACACCATTCTTCACAGAAATGGGGAAAAAACTTCTAAAGATTCATATAAAAGTTCTCAAAACACAAAACATACAAGACCAAAAGACAAATGCCACACAGCATATAATAGCTAAAACTCTAAGTATACATAGAAAAGAAAGTATAATTAAAACTGAACAAGAAAAAAATACATAGGTCACATTTAAAGAGAGAAATTAATATCAATCTATTAATAGTTAGCAATTTCAATACTCCATTTTCTCAGGTAAAAAGATAACCTGGACAAAATATCAAAAGAGAAACCATCAGATTAAATTGAAATTCTCCAGCAAGTAGACTGAACAGATACCTATAAAATACTTTATCCAAATGCCAAAGAATGCACATTCTACTCGGCAGCGTGGAGAAGATTTTATAGAATGAAGCACATCCTGAGACGTAAAAAAAATTACAAATTCAAAAAATTTTTAAAACACTCCTTGTATTCTATCTGATCACAATGCAATAACACACGCACATACACACACACACACACACACACACACACACACATACACACACACACACACACACACAACTAAATGACAGCATTTCATTCTTTTCTGTACTCGAATGGTGTTCTAATGTGCATACTTTTTTTACTTCTCCCCCCCCCCATACAATGCTCCCAATCACACCTGATTCCCATTCCTTAGAAGTCTACCTTCCCACCCTTGCAACCTCCGTCCATAAAGAAACCTTCCCATTTTAGTGGATAAAACTTTTACTTCTGCTTTCTCCACAGCTCCATCTTCTGTCTTTTTAGGATGTTCTAGTCTTTGTCTATCTCAGGGATGGAGCACAGTACTGCCCTAGATGATCACCAGCATCCCTGTTGTGGATGTTTGTTACTGCACTTCCAGGCACTTCTAGTACCACCTTTCTAAAGAAAGAGCTGACCTTTCTTTAACCAAATATATAAAATAAAATCTATGCTAAGGTTCCATCTTACCCCCAAAATAATGGGTATCATCAAGAAAACAAAAGTCAATGATGTTGTGGTGTAGGAGGTTCTTCTCTATTTGTGTTGCTTTCATTGGTTGAGTAAAGAAGCTGCCTTGGCTTTTTGATAGGGCAGCCCTTAAGTGGGCAGAGTAGACAGAAAAGAATTCTGGGAAGAAGGGAAGTGTAGCAGACGCCATGCTTCTCCTGTCCAAGACAGACATTGGTTAGACGCATGTCAGTAAGCCACATCCTCATGGTAAATACAGATTAATATAAATCAGTTAATCAAGATGTGAGAGTTAGCCAATAAGAGGCTAGAGCTAATGGGCCAGGCAGCAATTGAATTAGTACAATTTCTCTGTGGATATTTTGGGTATAAGCTAGCCTGGAGGCCGGGACACAGCCCACCGCTGTTCATCATTACTACAGCTTGGTGCCTCAACATGATCGACTGACTCCACATAAAATCTGAGAAAGTTTAAAAAAAAATTCAGAGTTTAACAGAGTTTTTGCTGTTTGCTGGCTCCGTGCTACAAAAAGTTTTACCTGACTCAGCAAGAAAAAAAGCCATGCCATTTTAAAACAAGGCTTCCTGGGCCCTGCCGCTGGTGCAAACTCCAGCTATGGAGCATTTGTGGACCCAGATGTTGGTGTGCCTGCTCAGAATAGGGAAGAAAATACTCTGAGACCATGCCAATTGGCCAGTGCTCCCTGCCTGCACCTGGGCAGGCAGCAGGATCAGGTCTACTAAGCGTGCAAACGCAGGAGAGCATGGGGGATTTCTGCTGCCATACACAGAGATGTGTCCAGGCTGTGCAGTGCTCTGCCTGGCAGATTTAGCTGTAACTCAGAAAGAAAGAGTTTATGTGCCACATGCTCAGTCTCAGAGTTAAAGTGCTGAGTGTGGCTCCCACCTGGCAGCCCCAGAGCTAGCAGAAATGTTATGTTCACCATTTTGAAATTGGAGAGGGGTGGAGCCAACATCCAGAGCAGCCCCTCCATGCTAGCGGTGCAGTGCACAAGGCTCAGAGGCACAAGAGGTTCCTCCATGTTGGACTGGGTGGGGCAAGCAGGCAGTACCTGTATTTGACCTAGGATTGCCGCAGCTTAGATTCTTAAGAGGTTATCATTTTAAAAGCTATTCAAGACAATAGAGAATTAAGGACTATGCAATAGGCCAGATTCAGACATAAAAGACCTCTAAATGGTCATAGTGTTAGATAAAGTATGTAGGCTTGGGAGAGAGAAGAAAACAGAGTATAGAGAGTCATAACATAAAGTTAATGCCTTAAAAAGGGTAAAGTCTTTAAAGAGACAGAGTACAGATCGTTATTGATTAAAAGAAATAAAAAAATTAAGTCACATAAAAATGGAAAATTCACAGAGAGCCTGGATTTTGTATAATGGTGTTTTCTTTAAATTTTATGACTGTGAAGGAGCTAAGTGCAGAGAGACATTTCACTGCTAAGCTAAACGAGCATATATGTTCTAAAGGTATCATGATAACTTCAAAATTTGGGTCTAAGGATATGCTGCTTTGGAAAAGAGGTTCTTCTTTTGTTTTCACAGAAGATAAGAACCTGTGGATTGCTTCTAAACTAATATGTTATGATAGACAATGCCCTCCTGAAAGGTTGCCGTGACCACCTTCAGAAAATTACTTCACTCAACTGCCAACTGAGATGAATTTAGCACACAGATTATACAATAAAAGACCTGAATAATGGCACCCCCATACAGCACGAAGCAGTTTGGAGAGAAAAAAACTGTGCCCCTATTCCCAAGTATTATTTATAAATGTTCTTTACATTTAAAGGGGGATATGATATAGATATGAATAATTTGTATTGATATGGATTTTGCTTTAGTGATATAAATTTAAGGTCAATTTTGTTATTTGCATATGTATTTCTGATCTTGATTAAGGTATTGTGATTGTGTAGTTCATTTAAAAATGTAATGTTGGGCTGGAGAGATGGCTCAGAGGTTAAGAGCTCTGACTGCTCTTCCAGAGGTCCTGAGTTCAATTCCCAGCAACCACATGGTGACTCACAGCCATCTAGAATGAGATCTGGTGCCCTCTTCTGGCATGTTGTATACATAATAAATAAATCTAAAAAAAAAAATAACTTTAAAAAAAATTAAAAAAAAATAAAAAATAAAAATGTTATGTTTAACTAGGAAATATAGGTTGTGAATGGATAATCACCGATAAAAGTCAAGCTTGTAGGTATGTTAGATTTTCTAGATATATAGAGATATATAGGCATTCTTCATCTCTTTCAAAGACTACAGAATTTTGTATTTAAAATGTTTTAATAACTTAGGGCTTTTCATGACAGTGAGAGACATCTGCTCCTTGCAACACCAATCTACTTCAAGAGGAAGATGGGCATCAAAGAGGCTTCTTATGGAGTTGGTTAGCTATTTGGGCAAGAAACTGCTCTTGCCTGGACTGTTGCATAAACTGGACACCAAGAACCCACAGAGAGAGGACTGCTGAACTTGCCTAAAGGTGAGATGATCCTTCTGGGTTCCTGATTTATGAAAGAGTCTGTGAGACATTCTGAAGGACACAAAAGAAAGTGACTGAACTGTCTTTAAAATTCCCTGCTTCATGAAAATGTATGCTGGATACTATGGACCTATAGGCTGAAGATGGATGCCCCAACGGTACAAAAGAACTTTGGGTGCCTGGACAAAAGTCCAGGCAGCAAGATGTCTCTTTTGATTCTAGAGTTTTAGAAGTTGCTAACAATGTACTTCCTGTTTACTTAGGTAATATTATATCCTTCTGGAGTCTTAGATAGATAGTTATAGTTACAGTTTACCATTCCTCATGGATATTAATCTTCATCAGGCGATGAAAGGAGACAGGGACAGAGTTCCACATT